GGATGGGGTCAGAATTCCGTCGCATCTTGCTGTGGAGGTGATTTTCCTTTGGATCCGCACGGGGTGGTGTTTCCACGCGCTCCTTACACAGCGATGTCTTCATAGAAACGCTTTCAATTGGAAGAAGTAAAACAAGAGAGCGGTTGTTGAAGTCTTGCCCTGCATATAAGGAAAAAAAAGCACCAGTAGAAAAGAAATTGTTACAATCCTGTTAGCAGCATCCTGAAGTATGTGTTTCTCCCTTGGTTCTTAGCACAGTTCTGCTGCAGACACTTGAAAAGGCAGTTGTCCACAATGCACAGGTGTGCATACCTAGGCTCTTTTTGAAAAGTTTGTTGGTGATAAGTTTATTTCTTCTAACGGTATTGGCAAATGATGACATGGGGTACAATAGTACCTTTTTAAAAAGAAAAAAGGAGAATAATTTGGCTATACGTAGTGCAAGCTGCAAGGCTTTTTTTAATAAAGCCCTGAGGGTTGTGGGGTTTCTGGGTTTGGTAGTTTTTTGTTTGGTTTTTTTTTTTAATAGATGTGAGCTAGAAACACATGAAATTTAGAAGTAGAATTTTTGTCAGGGTCGTTACTATATGAACGCTAGCTGAGTGACTGTTTTTGCAAATGAGGTTCTGTGCCCTGTGATAAAAAGTTGTTACAATACTGTAGCATTAACATTAAACAGCCCATTGCGATGCTGCTCTTCTGCTTTTTGCCTGTGTTGTGTGCTAGGCAACAGAGGCAGAAAACGAGAATGACAATGAAGAGGAAGAGTGTGCTCCACTGGAGGACCATGAAGAGACCTTTCCCCCGGCAGAGAGAGAGGTCCGTGGAGCTACAGAGTTGTTTTGTTGGTTCTGCAGAAGTGAGACACTATAATAAAATGTACAGTCTTATTCAATGAGTGAAAGACCAGTATTTGTAACTTCACATCCTCCTTGTGGGGTTTTATTGCTGCAAACACAAAACCTCTCAGAGTTGGAACAGAGAGAAGCTGCTTGGGGAAGCACCAAGTGACAGCTTCGCCTGGTGAACAGCTCTGACAAAGCTGGAGAGGTTCCTTTGTTGTGCTGTGTATGTGTAAAGTTGTTTGGGCTTTTTTTAATCAGGAGTGACACAGCTTTGCCACGATAGCTGTGTGCTGATTTTAGAACAAGGCCCTCTTGTTGATTCTTTGTCCACGTAGTTTATGTCTCAACAATGACACAACTAAGCAGGTTTTTAGGGGCAAACAGAGTTGGATCGAAAAGCTATTTCAGGGGATGGATTTTATGTTTCAGGAAAAATCTCCCGAGACTTCCTCAGACAAAGTGGAATTAGGCAGTTGTCCTCCTGAACAGAGTGACACGGAGCAGCCAGTAACAGAGAGAGGAAACCCTTCCCTTCCTCCAGGACCTCCTCGGCAGGCGCCCACATTGTCTGAGGGCCCAGCGTCAGGTAGCCCTTGGTTCCTTACTAACAGAACAACACTTGGTACTGTCTGCAAGCACAGTTTCTAGTTTTCTCCTTTTCTGATCATTGTTAATCCAATCAGAGGCGTAATATGACAAAATTTAAGCCTTTTCTTTTATATTTTTCTTTTTTCTCTGGGAGTGGGGTCCAGGTAACACTGAACAACTCATTTATCTTTACTTAGAGTCTGCCTTTGAGCAATTTGATCAGCTTACTCGTGAGCACGGTGCCCAAGAGTGGGAAGAGGAGCACCAGCAGCGTGGAGCTGAGGAACATGAAATAAGTGGGAAAAGTGAAGAAAATGTGGAAGAAACAGAACTGGTTGTCTTGGATCCAGAACACGTGAGAAGTCCTTAAATCCTGTAGTCCTCCTTAGCAGACTTGCTATTTTTATTTGTAAAAAATGTGTGAGGTAAACTGTAAGCAGTGGCTTAGCTGTATGCTAAACCTACATGTTTAAAAATAGCTTTTCCAAAAATACCAGTGTCTGAATTGTGTCTGCTCCCTCAGTATTAACCCCAGAGTTGCAGGTTCTGCAGTGAGCAATGTAGTGGGTGCATCTGATACTCTTCAGTACTCCTGAAAAAGAGATACTTGCAGGCTTTCAGATACTCTCGGTGGTCACTTTCTGATGTCAAGATATACCCGCTGTGTAACTTTTCTCACTTGTTACAGTGACTGTAGCCAAAATAAGAATGCAAGTGCCTATGGCAGAGAATGAGATGTTTTATTTAATAGTGAGGGTAGCAGCAAGTTTCTTCATAATTTATTTACACAAGTATATTAAAGTTTATCAACTTCCTACTTCTTTACAGCCTCTGATGAGAAGATTCCAGGCTGCCCTGAAGAATTACCTTACCAAGCAGATAGAAAAAGCGAACCTAGAGCTTCAGGAACTGGTATAGGACATTGTTTCTTGGCTTTTCCAGAGCAGCCCATCCCTGTCCAAGCTGAAGCGCGACAGCTGATTTCCTCTTCTGTCTGCAGAGGACAGCAACGAAGAAGGGCAAAGCAGAGAGAGAGGAACTTGGGGTGATTCTTTACGGAGCGCAGCAGCAGCTGGCCCATCTGCAGGTGGAACTGGAGAAGAGCCGTGCCCGCTGTTCTCAGACGGCCACAGCACGTCAGCAGCTGGAAGAGGAACTGGAGGGCCTCAGGCTTACGTGCAAGAAAATGTCTCAGAACACAGTTGATGAGCGCAAGAAAGGTGACTCAGGAAGGTCTTGCAAAATTTCCCAATTGTAGTACTACGTGGAGAAATGAATTTGAAAATAAGCCAAGCATGGGGATTGAAGAATACAGTAAAATTAATCAGAAATAATGTACGCATGGAAATGTTTCACAGATATCCCTGGTTACCGTATAATTTCTCATGTTTCTAAGGCCATGTTTCTATGTTGCGCTTCCAAGAAGGTCTTTAGGGCTAAAACTACACTTGTTCCTGGTGGGTAGGCTGTTCTGTGACCTGGAAGAAAGAAAATTCTCATCACTCTGTTATGTTTGCCTGTGTGTCTGAGGGTGTGATGAGATTGCAAAGGTCAGCAGGGGCAGCCAGGAGAACGAGAGCAGCCCCCATGCATGTGGCAGCCCCTTCCAGCCAGAGAGATGGGCTTGACTTGCTCTTTCCACCTTGCAGGTGTTTTGATAGGAAACAGTAAAACAATTGCAGTGGCAGGGATAGCTAAGCGTTAAAATGAATTTCCTGGGATGTTTTTGCAGGTTATTGAAAAAAAAAATGAATTAGAGAAGTGTTCAAAGGACTGAGAAAGCGATGCTTCTGTTTTGGGGCAGAGGAGTGGATTTACAGCCTCTTGAGGCCCCTTCTTTGATTTCCTGGGTTTCTGTGTGCTAGGAGTCAAGGAACTGCTTACCCAGGTTTTAGCTTTTCTTGTGGAGCTATATCCCAAAGCTATTGTAAATTCTTATTTCAGGGAGGGCTGATTTAGGTGGGGTGTGTGCGGTTTTTGCTTTGGGTGCTCTCTTTAAGGTGAGTCCTACAAAAACACTTCTCTAAATGTTTTCTCCTCCTGCCTCCCCAGTTTCTGCAATGCAGACCCAGGTTGAAAACCTGGCCTTGCATCTCTTCTGCGTGCAGAATATGGACGAGGAAATGCGCCATAATATTTTGTTGATGAAACACTCAACAAAGAAAGCTGAGGCAGAGAAGCTCCAGGCTGAGGTGGAAAAGAGAAAACAGGTATCAAGTAAAGTTGTCTTCTTTAGAATAAAAAAAAAAAATAGGTGTCAGCTAGTGGTAACTCCTGGAGGACGTGCTGCCTTTTCAGAAGGAAGGCTATAGTGACTGGTCACAGATGATGGGTGGAGGGGAGTGTTTTTCTCAAAGAACTGAAACAAAAACCCCATAGGCTTTCTTAAAAATGAGAAGAATCCCCACCATCGAGATAGTGGCATGGACTGCCCAAAGGTTTTTGACAGGCCTTATAACAGTAAAACACTCTTCGCTCAAGCAAAGGGGGCGTGGGAGCAGAACAATGTTTAGCAAAGAAGTATGTGTTCAGGTTTTGAGATATATTCTGGGTCACGATGAGTTTCACGATGAAAAGCCGACTGGAAATGAAGGGAGCCGTTGGTGTGCTGGAGCTCCCTCTGCTGCCTCCTGCTTGCAGCAGGACACAGGCTGAGGATTGCTCATGCAGAATTGCATGGAATCAGTTGAAATAAATTCAATTTAGGCTTTTTTTTAAAAAAAAACCAAAGGATTTTAGAACATAAATTATTAAGATTCCCAGCTGCTGGAGAGGTGGCACGGTATAATCCAGGCTGACGAGAACGAATGCTGCTTCAGCTCTAGAGGATGAACTTGCTGCTGCAAGTGTGATAATGAAAAATTGGCAAAGGAGGTTTCATTCTCTTGAAAGTTGTTACCGCTGTGTTCATAAGTCATTTGTATATGAATGAAAAGTTTCAGTAGGAGTCAAATTTAATCCAGTTGCCAATTTAATCCCTTTTCTAGCCTCTGTTATTCGTGTAGAATAGAGTTGGTTAACACTGAGCTTGTCTTACTCCTCCTGAGCCGTTTGCCTCTGACTCTTCAGGATCTTCTGCTCGACCGCTTAACAAGAAAAGTCTATGATCTACAAGAACAGATTGCTCTGTCTGAAGCTCAGTTTGTGGCCCAGGTGAAGGACACAAAAGTAACTCGGCAAGCAGTAAACGAGGTAACAGCGTGCTTTTTCAGCTTCTAGTTAATATTTTCCTGACCCCTTTGGCTCCTGCTCACGTGGTGTGTACAACTGAGGCCAGAGCTGTAGGATTCATCCCTGTTTGGTGGAATGAAGACTTCTTTCTTTTTTCTGTTTTCTTTTTGTCCTTAAGAATTGCCTGTAAATCAGTTCCTCCCCCAGATTCTCAGCATTTTATTCTCGCACACCTATGCTCTGTGGGCTGGCGTCACAGTAAACTAGACACATTACATGAAGCTGTTCCTGCCCAGCATATTATGGACAGAAAGAAAATACTGCGTTGCAACATGAATTTGATTATTTTCAACCCGGTAAGGATTAGTCCTGTCCACCATCTCTCTCTTCCCTAGGCTTGTATGGAGGTGCAGGCCATTAACATGGAGAAGAAGCGACTGATGAAGCACTGGAACAGCAGCTTGGCTGGAATGAAGCAAAGAGATGAGGCCTACGTTGCCACACAGGAGCTGCTGAGGTGTGGTGGCTGGAAACAGTCCCAGGAGAGACCTCAGATAATTTGGGTGGGAGGGATTCTGAAGGGAGCAGTGTGTCTTCAGTCGAGTTTGTTCCTGTGTGTGCAGGGTGTGTCGGGCTGAACAAGTTCACTGCTCTGAAGCACGCGGTAAGGTTAAAGGATAAGGAACACAGGTTTTTGTCACCGCTTTCTTTATCCAAAACACGGCTCTACCTTGAAATATATGGAGTTTCTAAAGCTATTTAGAGTTTTTCTATTCATATTTTATTCCTGTAAGAGTTTCTTCATCTTAGCGACATCTCTCAGTCCAAAGAGCGAGACATCAAGCAGGATTTATCTATCACTTTTGGTTTTTTGTGATGCCTTTAGAAAGCTTCAGGAGAAACCTTCCCATTGTTGCCCATGGAAGTGTTTATTTGTTCTGGAGTTTTAAAGCTTGACTGAATTTCTGAGAACAAACAATAGGCTTCTAGATGGTGGAATCCTGGTAAAGAACAGGACTTCAGGAATTAATTTTCCTGCATGCATTTCCTTTTAAATCTTACTGTCTTCATCCATCTTCTGATGACTCTGCACTGTCACAGCCTTTATAAAGATCTTTCTTCATGGTCACTTGTTGCTGCAATAACAAGTCTGAAAAGAGGAATTTGTAGATGTGACCGTTCAGCACGTGAATTGATTCCTGGGATGTTTTTCCATCCTCTTTGCCTCTCCAGCAAGTACAGACATGACCTCAAGTCCCTAGAGATGGGCATCCATGACTGCAGAAAGTCAATCAGGAAGGAGGAGGAGAAGAACGAGTTGCTTGTCACCATCCTGAGCCGTTCAGAGAGCGATGCCAACACCACAAAGAGACTGATTGCCCAGTGCCTCTCAAGGCAGGAGGCCCTGAAGGTTGAATCTGGCACCTATGCCCGTGTTCTGCATGAGACAGAGCAGGCCCTCAGTGGGACCAAGAGGGTGAGAAGAGTCACATGAAAGAGGAATCCTTTTGAACCATACATGGGGGTTTAATCCCCTTCCCCAAACAGTTGTAGTGACCTTGCCTTTGTCTTCGTACTTCTAGGATCAAGCTGCCCGTCTGAAGGAGTTGCTGTCCATCAGTAAGGATATACAGAAAGGAACAGAGGCCAAAGAGCAGATGGAGAATGAAATCGTGGCAAAGCTCCAGGATCAAATGATGTCCAGCAAAGCCACAAAGCACTTCTCACAGCTGACTGCGAAACTTCATAGGAGAAAAACAGATCTGGTACGGTCGCTTCCATGGAGGGGGGCAGGGGAAGGGAACTGCCTAGAGCAGTAGCTAGAGACATGCAGGCAGGGGAGATAATTGCAGAAGTGATGAGTATGGTCTCTTAAACAGTTTTGGGATGTTTAGGCTCCTTAATACTTTTCAAGAGTTTTATGGCAGAGGTAAATATTGCTATCTCCTGTCAATAGATGGAGAAACAAAGGTACAGAGAGGATGAGTAGCTTGCTCACAGCTTGTAGTGCAGGCCTGGGAGTGGAATCCAAATCCTCTGATTCCTGTGCTTTGATAAGTGGAAATTACACATCAATGAGTTGGTGGTGGTGACAGTAATTTGTTTTCTCTTTGTTGGTGTTCCTAGGAGCTGTATTTTTCCAAGGTTGAGAATGATATGGCCCAGGTTATTCTGAATGCGACTCATACCGATTGCAGGCTGACAATTCTCCAAAAAACACTTTGTGAGCTGGACAAGGAAATAAAAAATATCCGTGATCTGATCAGCTGCAAGGAACGTGAGATCGCAAAGTGCAGTCTCCTGATGGAGAACAAGCGAGTGGTGCTCAGCCAGTACAACAGGCGGTTGGAGACACTTCTTTCTCAGCAGGGGGTAGGTGTCTTTGCATTTCAGTCCCAAACTTGATTTTATTCTTTGTGGTGACAAGGGATGCCCCTGGTAAGTGTAACTGCGTAAGTGCTGGATGGTTAAAGCTCTGAGGCACCAGTATTGTGATGTAAAACTGCACTAGTTAATGTAGCTGTTTATGTTGGTCAAACAGTTCTTAATGCATGTGAAGAGGAGCTGGCATGAGGGAATTGGGAAGTGAGGGTGTGCCTAGCACAGGGAGTTGTCTGCACCTGATGCAAACATTGAACAACATCAATACTCTGGGAGTAAATAGGACCTCGCTGTAAAATCTGCAAAGTCAAACTGCCCTTCTGCGATGGTGCTATTAACAAGTGCTCCAGCGGTTCCTGCCTGGTAATCCCAAACCTGTGCCCTCGTACAGGGGCAAGGACCGCTGGAAATCGAAATCAACAGTCTGACCAAGCAGATAGAAGAATATCATTCTGAGCTGATGACACTGCAGAAGTACTGGCTGAATCAGCAGAAAGAGCTTGTCAAATTAACACATGAGCGGGAGGAACAAATAGCCTCCTTGGATATGCTAAAGAAGCAGATCACAATAATGCAGCAGAGGAAGGTGCGCACTGAAAGTAAGTCATTCCCTCAGTCTTTCTTAAAACGTTCGTCTGAGAATGGAGAAAAAAGGCAGGAAAGGCTTACAGACTGGCAATGCTAGACCCTCAGCAAAGCATGCAAACGGCCTCAGGGCTGTCCTGGGGAGGGCTAAGAGCCAGGCCCCTTTGGCTGGTTTGCAGGTCCGTATTTCCTGTAACCATAGATCCTGCTGCCTTAACTCTGAGTGACCAAGTCACGTGTTACACTTCTTAAATAAAGTTTGCAAGCAGTTGGTAGCTAAGTGTCCCCTCCAATGACCGCACTTCCCTTGGTCAAACCCTACTCTTTTCCACAGTAGTCGCCTTCAAAACCTTGTTTGATTTTTGGGCTTGTGGGAAAATGTTTGGGCTGGGTCTGTGGGACACAGGTGTTGTCTGGCCTGAAAGCACTTTGTCACATCTGGCCTGCGTTCAGCCCAGTGCTGGGGGTTGTTTTCAGACTGTTGGCCTGTTCACCTTCTAGATGAAATTC